CACTAAGGATATTTATTCAATCTATATATAATTTAAATTTTAAGGTAAAAAAAAAAAAACTCCAGTTAGTTTTCATTAAATAACTAAACTTTTTTTGGAAGCAGTTTTCTTTTCTTTTCAAACCTTCTTCATCATTGCATCGGTTTTCATGTCAAGCATGCTTGAAACATCATCCAGCGCCCCGAAAACCTTCATTCATGTTTGTGTGCATGTATGTGAACTTGTGCATTAAAGGGTTAACTTAGAGTAAAAAAAAATAAACACAATTATTACTTACCGTAGTAAAACATAAGCTTAATAAATTATTTTGGTCCACCATGATATTTTGTTCCCACAATTTCCCCTAAAAAACTGTAAGTGACGCAGAAAATAAAAAACAGGACAGGGAGGGCGAGGTGAAGAAAAGGGCTGAGTGAAAAGCTGTAAAGGAATTGGGCAAAATGAGGTGAGAAAGAAATGGAGGGGGGAAGTTCACTCCTTTCTGATATAAATTAAAGCGAAAAAACAAAAGAGTGATGGAGGGACACAATAATATACAGCCAGAGACAGCAAAGGTGGGAGTACAGGCTTCCATTCATTATTATCACAATTAGCTGTCACTGAAGCCCCCTTATGCAGACAGAAAAGATCAGTGCACGAGATGTGAGGGAGTGTGTTCATCTTCGAATCTCAGGAATGTTTTTCGTGGTGTTTAGGGAGTAAAATGTGAGCGATACAGACGCCCTCCCCATCTCACCACACCAACATGAGATGTCACATGACGTACACTCCCCTGCGAAACTTGTGGGAGTCATCTCTAAAAACACCGGGCCGTGCCATGCAGTGCACGCTGGGGACTTTTTGAAGCATGAGTGGAATATTCTCAGCCGGCCTTATCGCAGATGCAACACAATGTGCGTTGAATCTGTGTCCACATTCATTTTATAGCCACTCGTGTTTTTCTCCTCCCACTCTAACTCAGATAAAAAAGACATGCAGCAGGTCCCATCTGGACTCTATCACCAGGGGCAGAAATTGGCACTACATCAAGTTGGCCTTTAATCTCGGGCATTACAGTTTCTCACTACATTGCCACAGCACAATGAACCGGAACAGGCGTGATGTTAAACGAAGGGAACACAAATAAACAAGTTATGGTGCATTATCATGCTGAACATCCAGGCTTGCATTTCCTTTCTCATGTTTTCCATGTCTCACAGAGGAAGTGCAAGGCTGGCATTTGTGCCTTTTTACTTGTTGAGGATATGCACATAAATCTTGGTGTTTTTTCTAATCTTTTTGGAGCTGCTACTGTCTCAGTTTCGTCAGGATAAGGGCTTGGTCTGGGATAAAACAGTCTCCACCTCCCCTTTCCTTAAACAGATGAATATTTCTCCTTAGGGAAATTTTTGGAAGTATGGAAGTATTTTATTTTATTTTTTTACATTTTATTTTTTATACATTTTTTCTTCTCCTAATTAGATTCAGTTGGTGTGAGAAGTCCTCGGACCTCGTGGTCTTTCCTTACGCGCGTGTGTCTCATACTTGGAACAGGAGCGCAACATTTGGGTGATTTCTTCAAGCGGGCTCGGACAAAGGGCATTAACCTCTTCCTTTGGCGGCCAGATGTGAATGGGATGTTACTGGCCAAGCAACTGCAGACAAAACTCATAAGAAGGAGACGAGGGGAGGGGCGGGGGGAGTAGCAGCGAGAGGGCGGTGGTGGATGATTGTACAGGATGGAGATGGGAGTTAGAAAGGCTCCATTTGTGAGGTATGAGTGGGGAATGACTGATTTCCTTTGTATTCTTAACAAGAACAGGGAAGACTTTCTGAAAACTTCAGCAGTTTCTTCCTCAGTTAAAAAAGCAAACCCCGCCATAAAACGGGAGAGACACACAGACCAGGAAAAGCTTGTCGTGTAACAATAGACCCATCGCTTTTTGTGCATCCTGTGTTCCCCCAAATCTGAGGGTTACACTCATGAACCTGGACAAGAGAGAGCTTGAGAAAGCTGAAGGGCTGTTAAGAGACGGTGGTGGTTGGGGGGTGGAGAAGGAAGGGGTTATTTTAAGTGGTAAAGTTTGCAACCCCACCAAAGATGGGTAAATGCCAAGGGCTGGTGTGCTGTACATGCTAACAACACACGGGTAAAAGAGGGTGGGGCAGCTCTCAAAGTTCATCATGTCTCTTGCTCCTCTCTCATCCATATGACCCTCTTAAATATAGAGCCTCCCACTATTAATACACCCACATAGACACAAAACGGCCCTGCCCTGCCCTGCACTTTCCTCGGGCTTCAGCCACAACTACTGGGCAGAGAGTGGCTGGTCAAGGCAAAAGAAGAAAGCAAGGCAAAGAAAGACAGAAAGTTAAATGATACATGCTGTGAGAGCGACTGGAGACAAAGCACAGATGAAGGGGGGAGAAGAAAAACAGAGGGAAAAAGGAGAAAACAAAATCAAGTGCAGCAAGAGAGAAATAGGAGAATCAGGAGTAAAACGAGAGGAAGCACAGGATAGGCTTTCGGATAAATATGTACGGTGTATGTTACAGTTTACAGCCCCCCCCCCCCCGCACATGACCACAGTTTTTGGGACGCTTCCAAAGGATATTGCTCTCTTCTCTTTTGGCTGTGCCAAGAAAACTACAGACACGAGGCACCAGAGCTTCTTGCTATTACATCATATATTTTTTTCCCCCCTTGTTTGCAAAAAAAGAAAAAAAGAAAAAAGGAGACAACAGTGACAGCGAGGGAAAAATACAGCAAAGCAGGATGAGGTAATTTGTTAAAATGAACACGGAGCATTCATATGAGCTGATCCCTCTTTGTTAAATTAACACCTTCGCTTTTCCAATCACTGATCTTTGGCCAAGTTTGGTGGATTAACCGCAGATGCTAGAAGAAATATTCTTAGATATTACACAAAAAAAGATTTAAAATGTGAGTATGTGTTTAACACTTGTGTATTTGCGTGTAAACAAACAATTGCATTAACTTATTAATGAATACAAATGAAACCTGGACCATTTCCCCCCTTATGAATCCAGCCTGCAAAGTGTTATTGTTCAATCGGCAGGGATTAAAGCAGACAAAGAGAAGTGTGGTGAGGGCACATGGAGGCAGAGGGAGAGAGAGAGGACATAGTGTGCTAACAGTAGGATGGTGATAGCTGAGAGTTCACTTACTTGCACTTGTGAAGGCGCACAAAAGGCCAACAAGGGCCGACAGGAGCAGCAGCTGAACTTTCATTGTGTCAAAAAAAAACTCTTCTCCGCTCTTCTCGCCAGTCAAAACCCACAGAGACGTCCCCAGGGGCACAACACCGGAGACCTAACACACACCAACCGGCGTCTACGGTAGTAAAATGTTGAGGGACCCAAAAAAGGTCAAGAATGAAAATAAAGTCTTTGGCCGGAGGAAGTTTGGGAAAGCGGTGGGCTGAGATCCTTTCAACTTGTGGAGGTGAATGTGAACAGACTCGGGCTGGTCGGCGTGGAGGAAGAGAAAGAAAGAGTGGTGGAGGGATGCAGACAGGACAAGAGAAAGAGAGGAGAGATCTGGCCACTTTGGGTGAGTGCAGAGAGAGAGAGAGAGGGAGGAATGGCACACGGCAGGAAGGAGAGCGAAAAGAGGGTGCATGTGAGTGGCTGAGAGTGGAGGAGGGGTGCTGGTACTGGTTGTGGTGGCGGTGGGCTGGGCGGGCTGAGGAGCAAGGGGCAGGTTGGATTGGGAGGAGGGTGTCTGGATAGGGGCAGTAAGGTGGTTTGAGCCCTCGTGGCCCAGCCCCATGTAAACCTCCTCTTGGTCCACAGCCAGCAGTACTCCTGTTTGCAAACCCTGCAATATCAGCAGCATGCACACACTCACACATGCCAACACATGCACTAGGTGATACAGATAAATACACACTTATTTATCTAGACAAGACAGGCACACTAAACTGCAACCGGCTGTCTTTTACAATTAGAAAGCTAAAGCAACAAACTTTCCACATGAATGAATGGAAGAGATGTAAACAGAGGTTTGGGTTGTTTCAAATAATGCTTAATCACAGGAGTTAGGAGCCAAATCTTTGGATTGACTAGATACTACCTGTCAAATATTTAACAGGATTTAAGTAAATATGAGCAAACACCTGGAATTCATTTGTGCTGATCTTCTAAAACATCAGTTTTGCTCTATTTATAAAGAAAGTGGCAGTGTACATGTGTGGCTGATAGACAGCGGGAGGAAAGAGCGCTTTCTGGACCGCTTTCCAATGAAAAGAGGCCATAAATACAGTTAGAACACTGTGTGACGGTGTGTCGCAGGCAAGCATGGGTGGTCTGCCTAGTTTACATGCAGAGGAGGGCAAACAAACGGTCGCCCGGCGCTAGGCTGACACCTGTTGGACAACAAGCCGCGAGGGCCAAAACAGCACAAATAGGCTCAAACTAAAAACTCAGAAGCCACTGTCACATCTTCCTGCACAGCACAGTAACATGCACACAGCATTATTTCAAGATTTCAAACATGCAAACAGCTGATAAAATAACGGTAGCAGATGCAAGGTTATTGCAGTAAAAATGGTCAATGACATTTTAATAAACACTGAAACAGATTTGAACCGCTGAACCGCCGTACATACACAGGTTACTTATGACACACAAAAATGCCAACGTTTTTTTTTCCTTCTTTAAATCACCTATTTACATTATACTCAAGCTATGTACATAATGTTTCTCCTGGAAGAGAAATAACAAAATACCCATCTCCATTTGCCATTTCCTTTTTTTTTTTTTTTTCAGTCTGCATTTTTCCAGGGCAAACAGAGAAGTGACATACTGTTATTTACAAGGACAATTACACGCAGACATACAAGATATTTATTTATATA